AAGAATGTCAACCAATAAAATGTAGTTACACTTATACAGATAGGAATAGCATAATTTACATCATCACTACTCTTATTGGTCTAATTGGTGGATTAGTAAAGATTTTAAGATTTATGATACCAAACTTAGTGAAATTTATACCAAAACTAATAAAGAAAATACGAAAATGCTGTAGATCCACAAGATCAGAAACTGGTAAAATTAATTGATATTTCTGTAGTATGTATAGTCATATTGAGGATTGAAACCGCTCGAAAATTCGATATTTTTCAATATTATGACAAAATTTTGTGTTCTATAATAAAATCTTTTGATATGAATTTTCTTCTATCGTAATTCTAATCGAATGATGGACTAGAATTAGACGACTATAATATTCGTGAAATATAAAAAACGTTTTTTTCCCATTTTAGTGAATAATGTTAGTGAACCGACTATTGGAAAATGGCAAAAAATAAAGAACTTTCTTCGAAAACTTAATTTATTTCCATCAATACCACCATCAACTAATGAATCTGATCTGCGAAATCAACGAATATCAACAAGATTATTTGTCATTGCATTAGTTTTATCAATTACTATTCTGATCACATATAATTCATTAATTTATGTTACAATGATTGGTAATACTAATTCACCGGATCTTACTCAATATTCAGATTTATATTCACAATATCCACAAACGTTAACATGTCCATGTACTAATATAACGATAGAATATGGAAAATTTCTTGAAATTAATTATAAATTACATCAACTATGTAGTAGTGTTTTTGTTAGTAATAATTGGTTTGAATATCTTGATGACGCTGACACTAATGATGCGTCATACATAGCCGATATTCGACTTTCAGGCACATATATGTTTCAAGTACTAAACACATTTTGTGAATCAAGTAATAAAACGATCTCTGATAGTTTATCTCAATTTTATTCAACCGAGTACGCTTCTCTTAATGTTATATCTAAACAATTATTTGAATCACAATCACAAATACTAATGAATCAATTTATTTCTTCAACAGAGAACGACTTTTTGCTTCCGCTGCAAATTATACGTGATATGACAGAAGCCAACAGCCTATATACCCGTCACGGAATTAATTATGCATTTTATGGATCATCCGAAGTATCAACAATTGTATCATCTGCAATAACTAATGATAATTGTTCTTGTTTGACAGAAAAATGTCTTGTGCAAGTGGGGATTTTGGACTACAACAACTTCACGTATTCATTCAATGTTTCGGGTTTACAATTAGGATGCAATGCTATTGATGGAATATTACAATCGACTTTAGAATGTTTTTATAATCAGACATGTCTAAACAAAGTACAATCGTATATAATATCGCCCATATCGATAAATGTAATACCACTTAATTCATCATTATCCAGTCAATTTAATCAAACATCAACTATACAGGATATTATGAATGAATTAATGGTTGATAAATGGACTTTATCTAGTGTATATGAGAACTATTATAAAGAATGTCAACCAATAAAATGTAGTTACACTTATACAGATAGGAAT